AGGATCAACATCTTCCAGGTCCTGTTGATCTGAGAATGTCATCTGACAGGACCTCACATCACTGACCCTATGCTTTGGAACTTACTATGGAGCTCTGGCGTACTCATTGTTTCCTGGATTTCAGGAAAGCAGTTAAGACCTGGCTACTCCATTTCACTCGAGAGGAAGAGATATTGCAATTGTTGGGATGAACTGATGGATATGTAACTTTTGGGGCGGGGGATTTTTGCCATTTTTAGGTGGGTATATTTATTATTACTGGGTTTTCTTGCTTTTATGGTGCTATTAGCTGCTCAGAGTCTTCAGCAATGCATGACATTTATCATCATCATCATCATCATCATCATCATCATCATCATCACCATCATCACATCTTTGGACCACTCTGCCATTTGCCACCTTATGGCACCTTCAACCACTCTCCAGGCAGCCTTACCTGAGAGCATGTGCCTTGCTCCTAGTTGCAACACAGGTTGCTTTATACTGTCAGAATGAAATGACACTTAGATGATTGCATCCCTGAGGCAGAAGGCTATTTGGTGTCCTTCCTCCTCCTAACCTAAACATTGCAGTGATTGCAGATAGCATAGCATAAGTGTTCAAGAGCAAGCTGGAAGTACTCTCACACCATGCTGCCCTTGGACCTAAAACAGGCCCCCTTCAGTTGGAGTGGGGACTGGGTGTTATGCTGGTGTGTCTAGATATCACTGTCATTATGTGCCAGGTACTTAAATTCAGGAGATAATAGCTCCTCATCTGCTAACCTTCACTCTCAGCAAGTGGTGGGGACTGGGCTGGCTGCTTGAAGCATTTAACTTGTGTGAGGGAAACAACTGCTCTAACACTCGGTCCTTTCTTAGTTTCATCTAATATTTTCAGTCAGGAGATTTTACTGTTTATTACTCAGGACATGTAAAACAAAAAAGAATGGCATTACTTTCATGGCCAGGAAGCAAAGACAATACAATGGAGTCAATGACCAGACACTGAAGAGCAAGGAAAGATCCAAAAGATCACCAAAGTCAGAAAGAGATTTCAACCTCAAATTGGTATGCTAAGGGATGCCAGTAGACACATAGTAACTGCTTTAAAGAATATCAAACAAAGATAGGAATATATTGAAGTTATGTAGAGATGTCAACATCCAAAGATAACTTAGAAGATATTCCCTATTTACAAAAAAAAATTCCAGTACTGAAAGATGAAGTTAGATCAGCATTCCAGTCATTATCACTTTGGAAGGCTACAGAAATTATTGGAATCTCTACAGAAATGTAGCAAGGAACAGAAAAAGAATCTGTAAAAATTCTAACCAAACTATGCCAACAAATCTGGAGAATCACACATTGGCCAACAGATTGGGAAAGGTCAGTCTACATATTAATACCAAAACTGGTGTGCAAACTATCATATAACGTCCCTAAATTCATATGTTAGCAAAATAATTCTTAGGGTCATTCAACACAAATTGGAACCTTACAGGGAAAGGGAGATATCAGATGTTCACACTGGTTTTAGAAAAGGCTGAACAGAGTAAGAATAGAAACATTGCTGATGATCACTGGATAACTGAAAAAGCCAAATACCCAAAGGAAGTTAATATGTCCTTCATTAATTGTAGAAATGCCTTAGATTGTGTCAGTAATATCAAACTTTTCAAAGGAAAATGGTAATTCCAAAACATCCCCCCAGAGATAGGGACTGCACCCTCCCTCCTAATGTTCCAGGAAAGCTCTTAAAACCTGGCTTTGGTTTTAATATTATATTAAATAATAATATTATTAATATACTAGAATATTAATGTACTATTGTATGCCTGGGGCCACTGTTTTGTTTGATTTGTGTTGTTTATAAGATTGTTTTAGTCTGGGTTGTCTGTGTGGTTTTATGTTTTAATTGTTTTAATGGACTTTTCAGTTTGATACGCTGCCCAGAGTTTATTGGAGATGGGAGCTATAATAAATTTGAATAAATAAAAAAATAAATACCTCACTGTCCTCATGCAAAACCTATACACAGGTCAAGAAGCCACAGTCCGGATAGAACATGGTGAAACACACTGGCTCCTGGCTGGCAAAGGAGTGAGACAAAGCTGTATCCTCTTCATTCATTCATTCATTCATTCATTCATTCATTCATTCATTCATTCATTCATTCATTCATTCATTCATTCATTCATTCATTCATTCATTCATTCATTCATTCATTCATTCATTCATTCATTCATTCATTCATTCATTCATTCATTCATTCATTCATTCATTCATTCATTCATTCATTCATTCATTCATTCATTCATTCATTCATTCATTCATTCATTCATTCATTCATTCATTCAACTTATATGCTGAATATATATTGAAGAAGGATAGACTGAAAGAAGATGGACATGGTTTCAACTTGGAGGGTTTATCAAACTACACTGTACTGATGACACAATTTGGCTACCTGAAAATGCAAATACAGTGGTACCTCTACTTACGAACTTAATCCGTTCTGTGACTCTGATCGCAAGTCGAGTTGGTCGCAAGTCGAAGTAAATTTTCCTATAAGGTTCAATGTAATTACCGTTAATCCGTTCCGGCGTCCACGGACCATGCGTCAGGGGTGGAAAAACGACCGCTGACCACGCGGCAGGGCAGAAAAAATGGCCGTGGACCACGTGTCAGAGGTGGAAAAATGGCCGCGGACAACGTGGAACGGGCGGAAAATGGCCGCGGACCATGTGGAACGGGCGGAAAATGGCCGCGGACCATGTGGA